TATGGATGTAGTAGTATGTTATGTTATGGTATGTAATGTATGTATGTATGTATGGATATGGTATGTTGATGTATGTTATGTATGATATTATTATGTATGTAATGTATGTTATGTATGTATGTAATGTTATGTATGTATGTAGTATGATAGTATGTATGTAGTGCTATGATGTATGTATGTATGTAATGTATGTATGTATGTATGTATGTATGTAATGTATGTATGTATGCTATGTATGTATGTATGTATGTATGTATGTATGTAGTAATGTATGTATTGTGATGTATGTATGTATGTATGTATATGGTATGTATGTATGTAAGGTATCTATGGTAAGGTATGTATGTAGGTATGTATGTAGGTGTGTATGTAAGGTATGTATGTAAGGTATGGTAGTATGTATGTATGTATGTATGTATGTAATGTAACTGTATGTATGTAATGTATGTATGTATGTAATCGTATGTCTGTATGTATGTACTGCCTATGTATGTATGCTATGTATGTATGTATGTGATGTATGTATGTACGTATGTAATGGTATGGGTATGTATGTATGTATGTAAATGGTCTGTCATGTATGTATCGTATGGTATGTATGTATGTAATGTGGTATGTATGGTATGTATGATGTATGTATTATGTATGTATGTATGTTTATTATGTATGTATGTATGTATGTATGTCATGTATGTATGTATTGTATGTATGTATGTATGTATGTTATGTATGTATGTATGTATGGTATGATGTATTTGTATGTATGTATGTAATGTATGTATGTATGTATGTATGTAATGTATGTATTGTTATGTCTGTATGTATGTATGTATCGGTATGTATGTATGTATGTATGTATGTATGTATGTATGTATGTATGTATGTATGTAATGTTTCTGTATGTATGTATGTATGTATGGTGTATGTATGTATGTGTGATGTGTGTATGTTGTATGTGTGTGTGGTGTGTGTGTGTGTGTGTTTGTGTGTGTGTGTTTGTGTGTTGTGTGTGGTGTGTGTGGGTGTATGTGTGTATGTATGTATGTAATGTATGTAATGTATGTATGTATTATGTTGTATGTATGTATTGTATGTAATGTATGTATGTATGTATGTAATGTATGTATTAATGTATGTATGTATGTCTGTATGTATGTATGTAATGTATGGTAATGTATGTATTATGTATGTATAGTAGTTATGTATGTATGTAATGTATGTATGTATGTATGGTATGTACTGTTATGTTGTATGTATTATGTATGTATGTAGTATGTATGTATGTATGTATGTATGTATGTATGTATGTATGTATGTAGTACTGTAGTATGTATTATGTAATTTATGTATGTATTATGTATGTATGTATGTATGTAATGTATGATGTATGTATGTATGGTATGTATGTATGTATGTATGTATGTATGTATGTATGTAATGTATGTAATGTAATGTATGTATGTATGTATGTATGTATGTATGTATGATATGTATGTATGTATTGGTATGTATGTATGTATGTATGTATGTATGTATGTATGTATGTATGTATGTATGTATGTATGTATCGTATGTATGTATGTATGTATGTATGTATGTATGTATGTATGTATGCTATGTATTATATGTATGTATGTATGTATGTATTGTATGTATGTATGTTGCTGTATGGTA